TTTGTGTAGGGAACCATAACAACTTCAGGCTCCGGGGGAGGACAGGATCCAGGAGAGCTGAGTGAGTGTGGTTTGAGCAGACTGTTCCCATTCCAAAGGAAGCTAGTTTCCTCCAGCCAGCCCCATTATTTGAAGTAATAAGTGTTGTCAAACCTGACCTGTTAGACCTATCAGAGAAGTAGGAAGAAAGACTTCCTGCAGGACAGGGGCTAGACTTTGAAGACGTTCCACAGGAAGTACATGTGTTTGAATAGCTTTTAAATGGAAGATGGGGAATATTTGCTATTTTAAGCTGTGTAGTTCATTTTTCATAGTTTAAAATTAATCTGTGCTGGCCACTAAAAATGCTCGGTAAAATGTGAATGAGAGTTATGTAATCATTCTAGTATTTGCTCTCAGGAGAATGATTACTGCTCTGCATTTGTAAATCTTAGGGAGAAAATAAATACTTCTGGAAACAGTATTACGTTAGACATGAAGAATTTGTTTCTGTTAGGTGAGGCGTTTCAACCAAACAGAAGTAGCTAAGGAGAGTAGAGCCTGGCTTTACACGTTGCTTTGGCCAAACCCAGCCAACTCCTTGAAGCCGTGACTGTTGCCCTGGCTTCTTGGGAGCCTGGAGGTGAATCTTCCCATCGTCCCTCTTCTAGTTCTCCGTGCCTCCTCCTTGTCTGGGCCTCTACTGGGCCTTGGTGTCTGAACCACTTGCCATCTTCTGTAGGGAAGTGTGTAGTCAGATTGCTGCCCTAGGATGCAGCCTGGGCCAGGGCACACTGTGCCCTTTGCCTTTAGGGCCATAGAGTTGTCAATATAGGGGAGAGGCACCTTAGGTCTGTCCCCTTGACACAGCCTTCCTACCTGGTTATGCTGGTGCTTGCCAAGATACTTAAGAAAACCAAGGCACTCAAGAATTCTGCAGTCCCCAGATAGGATGTCTGATGGAGAGAACAGGCTAGCATTCTTGACAGAAATGCCTACCAGCCATCTTTGGTAGTGTCCTGGTCCGTAGCTCCCTGTACTTACTCTAGGAAAGTGAATTTCTTTCAGGATAAATCCTCACATGGATTACTGGTTAGTCTTTGTATCACTCCCTTCAGCCTAATCAGGCTGAATGATCATGCTCAGTGCAAAAAGGTGTTTTGCTGTCAAGTTGTTTCAATGCGTTTCCGGTCTCCCCCAGAATGGTATAGTTGCTTAAAGCTAGTACTACAGTCTTGACCAGTGTAAACATACTTAATTATTGCAGCTTAAAGAATCCAGCTGCTTCTACTCTTCATGAATATGCTCAAACAAAAATGTGTTTTTCTATATTTAAACCTGGCAAATTATGAATTCAGATGATAAAAGCTCACAATTGTTTGGTGTCCATATACTCACATTGTGAACATATTTCACTCATTTAGACTTAGTACTCTTGATGAGAATGCTCAGGTTGAAAAAGGCTGGCCTCACCAATCCAACATCTGTGGCAACATGGAACTTATGTTTCACTTATTTGATGTATGTTGTGATCTAGGGGGAATGAAGTGAAGTTTATATTTGAACTGTCTGTGGGGTGGGTGGGCAGGGGAGAAGGGATTGCTTAAGCAAATAGTGGAGTGATTGTGGAACAAGATGTCTGCATAAGACGAGAAGTTATTTTCATGCATCATAGAAGCATTCTTCTACCTGTGAGTGATTGTGCTAACTGTAAATCATTTATATCTATACATTAAAGCAGGTTCCCTTGATTAGGCAACATTTGGTTAGCCAAGCCCGTTATTGTTTGTACTTGAAAGAAATAAAGCTGCATTTCCTTAAAAATTACATTCTGTAGTTGACTATTTTGTTGTTTTTTTCCCCCAACTAATTCCAAGGAAACTTTTCAAAAGCGAGTGTTTTAGAATGCATCTTTAGAAATGAACTGCCCCTCGAGTGATCTAAAGTGACTCTGTTCTTCTGCTGTTTCTGCATGTTCTAGAATGTAAGTCTAACAATGTAACAATTTCTGAATGAGATCCAAGAGGGAAAACAATAAATTTAAAAGTAAAATGCAAGGAAGGATTTTGGTGACCCTCATGAATAGATGCAGATGGAGCGAAAGTACGTTTATGCAGGGTGGAGACCTTGGGATCAGCTTCCTCTCTTTTGCCCTCCTCTGTTGAGCACATCCCCAAGTTGGTTCATTCTTTCTTCTTAATTTAAACTTGTAGGACTCCTTGTCATCAAACATGGTCCTGTACTTTTGATCCCCAGCAGCACCATGACAGGGCAGATTGTCCTTCCTGTTTTACAGATGAGAAGTTGAGGCTTGCGCGGAGCAGCTAAGCCCGCGAGCCACACGGGCACCTAGAGCCCGTGCTTCATGACAAGAGAAGCCACCGCAATGAGAAGCCCACGCACCACAACTAGAGAAAGCCCGCGCGTAGCAACGAAGACCCAATGCAGCCAAAAATATAAATAAATAAATAGGTAGATAAA